GACTGTCAAATAAATAAATAAAATCTTTAAATAAAAAAAAGAAAGAAAATTAAAACCACAATAGGATATCATTTCACAACCAATAGAAGGGTTAAAATTACAACAAATGGTAATACCAAATGTTGTTAAGGGTATGAAGCAACTGGAACTCTCTTGCTTTTTTGGTGAGATTATAAAATGGTGCAACTGCTTTAGAAAATGGTTTGGCAGTTTATTAAAAAATTAGCAAATACATTGTATGTCTTAGCAATTCCATCCCTAGGTGTTTACTCAAGGGAAAAAAATGTCTTAAAATAAAACTTGCATATGAATGTTCATAGAAGCTTTATTCATAATAGCCCCAAAAGAGAAACACTACAAATGACCCTCAAGAACAGAATGAATAAACAAATTGAGGAATATCCATATAATGGAATACTATTAAGTGATAAAAAGAATGAAATACTGACACAACATGGGTGTATACATTTGTCAAAAGTCATTTAACCATACCCTAAAAATCTGTGTTTTTATACTTCCACAAGTATATTTAACCATACTTTTTAGATTAAATAACTAAAAGAGAAGTTATATGACATGTTCAAATGACGAACAGTGATCTCCAAGTCTTTTAAGTAGAGCGTTTTCTCCATTGTAAAACAATGGCATTTTATGAGTCTCTGTTACATTCTGAACAATACAGAATTTAGCAATATATTTTATATAACATTCTTCTCAAAGTAGGGTAGCCATCATTTGATTTCCAAAAGCTGTCTCATTTTATACACATATTTCTTCAGTAATTTATTCAACATATTTATTGTGCTCATACTATGTGCTAATTACTCTTTAGGCTCTGATAATGGAGTGGTGAATAAAATAGCACATGATTCCTTCACTTTCCTACGCATGTGCTACATTCTTCACAAAACACTTTCTAATATATGTCTTTATGAACTTGCATTCTAGCTGGAGAGACAGACAAAAAAGATATGTAAGTAAGACCTATTAGCTAAGGATAGTGTTAAGGACAAAAAAAAAATGGAACAGAGAAGGGAATATGTAATACATGTATTGCAGGGAAAGAGAAGATGAAATATTAGATCTTGCAGCCATCAAAAACATTACTGAGAAGGACTCTTTCAGCAAAATCCTAAAAGTGAAGGAGCAAAGCATGCAGATCTGAAGATGAGATTTCCAGGAAAAAGAAAAAGCAAGTGTAAAGGTCTTAAGATGGAACATACCTTGGCTCAGAGAATAGAAGAACAGGGTGGCTGGAGTGGAGGGAACACAGAAAAAAGCATTGATGAGGTCAGATTTGGCTTTTACAGGGCCTTGCTTTCTTTTTGCCACTGTGTTTCGTTGGTCCCACCCCTCCTTCACTATTGTTCTTATTTCTGCCTTGCCAGCAATGGTAACTATGGAGAGTAGTAGCCCATCCACTTCCTAGAGGCAAAAAGTTCAGTTCTGTACAGAACCATTTACATCCTTAGTGCCTACAGATATTCAAGTTTGATATTCAGACTTGATATTCAAACAGATATTCAAAGTCTGAACATTACCAGTAGAGGCTGAACAAATGCTTGTCTTTTTAGAAGGCTCACAAGGCAAACTTGGCCTTTATAAAGTCATGTCTGGTCCCTCCCTCTTTCTTTTTTTTTTTCCCTTTGTGCATTTGTTGGTGGTGGTGGTGTCTGTGTGTGTGATGTTTTATTTGGTTGTTGTGTTTGGGGTTTTTTGTTTGTTTGTTTAGTTTCAAGTTTTTATTTAAATTCCAGTAAGTTACCAGAGGGGAGGTGGGTGGCAGGATAGGGGCAAGAGGTGATGGGGATTAAGGAGTGTACCTGTGGTGTGATGAGCACTGGGTGATGTATGAAATTGTTGAAACACTATATTATACACATGAAGCTAATATAATTCTATATGTTAACCAGAATTAAAATAAAATAAGATAAATGAAATTTTGGCATGTGAAAAAAAAAGTCACTTCTTCATCAAAACTGCCTTTTAGCCTTGGAAACTTAGAAAGTTATTCTTGTTAGTGTCCCAGCATTTGGTAGACATGGAGAGATGTTAGTACAGTCCACAAGAAACTGACATATAAAGCTCAAGTATCAGTTTATTAGTTTATAATAATAAAACTCTAAAGGAAACCAGATAAATATGAGTCATTAGTGCTTCTTCTTCCTATAAGGAAACTACCTACCTTGGAAGCCAAATTATTTCAAGTTTAGTTAGTGAGCATGGAAATCAAAGCTGTTATCTGAGTTTGACTGTTCTTGGCCTCTGGCTCTGGGTGCTCAAAGAGCCAATCTCCATAACAGAGTTATACTTCTCAGATAAATAATCCCTACCAGCGTATGACTCCTTCACCTTTCTATGTATATACTACATTCTCCACAAAACCTCTTCTAAAGATATATTCTTTCTTTAGAAGTATCAAAATCTTCTGTGACATCTAGCTATGACTGATGATCTGGATTTCCCCTAAGGGACTTTGCACAGCTCTACTCTGATCTATTCTGTATTAGTTTCATAGCTTAACTATTGAAGAATAATTTTAGAAGAATGCTACTAATGCTACTATGACCAAAGCTTTTGATTAACCAAAAATTTGTTTTAGTTATTTTATTTCTATGAATATATTCTATGAACAGGGGTATGAACATATTTAGTGACTATACTCTTCCTCTTCTATTGGATATATATTCTATTGGATACACCAATGAATATATATTATATATAAATATATTATGTATAGTGGATATATATTTTTAATATAGAAATATTTTCAATGTTTTAAAAAATCTTCTTTTGAACCAGCTTCATATCTAATATGATGTTTCAGTTTATTCTAATTTATTTCTAATCATTTTCAAGTCATTTTTTTTATTTTGCCAACATATTAGCAGGCCTAATTCCACCAATTTCAATGAATTATCTGAATTCACAGAATTAACAAAACTTGGACATTTAAAAAGACATAAAGTTTATAGGAACTTATGTGAATTTTTTTGTTGATGAGTTTTCACTTCGTTTTTATAGCAGTACTTTGGAATACTTAGAGTGTCTTGGTCCCTGTTCCCCTGCTATTGCTGCAGAGTTGTTTCAATATAACTTATTTCCTTGGTAATCATGACTGTTTTATTTTATGTATTAAAAACATTATTCTGGGGCGCCTGGGTGGCTCAGTGGGTTAAGCCGCTGCCTTCGGCTCAGGTCATGATCTCAGGGTCCTGGGATCGAGCCCCGCATGGGGCTCTCTGCTCAGCAGGGAGCCTGCTTCCTCCTCTCTCTCTGCCTGCCTCTCTGCCTACTTGTGATCTCTCTCTGTCAGATAAATAAATAAAATCTTTAAAAAAAATTATTCTAAGGAGTCCATAGTATTCATCATACTGTTGAAAGAACCCGTGGCATAGTAAAGGTAAAGAAATTGTGCTGAGGGAGGAGCTTGGAAATAGAGATGGAGTAACCTTTGCTGGGGGAAAAGCAGAGAGAAGATTCAAGATGTAGAGAAATTTGAACCCACACACAGGAATCATGGGAATGTAAAAATGGTACAGTCGCTGTGGAAAACAGTCTGGCAATTGCTCAAGTGGTTGAGCACAGAATTACCAAATGATCCCTCGGTTCTGTTCTTCAGTATAGACTCTAGAGAAGTGAAAACATAAATTCACACAAAAACTTGCATATGCGGGGCGCCCGGGAGGCTCAGTGGGTTAAAGCCTCTGCCTTTGGCTCAGGTCATGATCCCAGGGTCCTGGGATCGAGCCCTGCATTGGGCTCTCTGCTCGGCGGGGAGCCTGCTTCCTCCTCTCTCTCTGCCTGCCTCTCTGCTTACTTGTGATCTCTGTCAAATAAAAAAAATAAAAAAAAAACTTGCACATGAATGTTCATAACTGTATTGTTCATAATAGCCAAAAACTGGAAACAAATGTCCATCAACTGATGAATTGGGTAAATAAATTTTGATATTATTCTATAATGGAATATTATTTGACAGTGAAAAGGAATGAAGTACTAATACATACATACAACATGGAAGACCCTTAAAAAGATTATGCTAAGTTGAAGAAGACAGTCACAAAAAAAATGTACTGTATGATATCATTTATAAGAAATATACAGAATAGGCAAATCTATATAAAGAGAAAGATTAGTAATTTTCTAGTGCTAAGAGTGGGGGTATGGGAATGGGAAGTCACTCATAGCAGGTACTATCTTTTGACATAATGAATATGTTCTAAAAATTGATTGTGGTAACAGTTGTACAACTCTGTGAATGTACTAAAACCCATTTTGAATTGTCCACTTTACAGGATGGATTGTATAATATGTGAATTTTATCTTAATAAAGCTGTTGTAAAAAAGAAGATTAAGTATTTTTTGTATAGATAACATTAATATCATGAATTTTTTTCCTTTCTCTTTTCTCGTGGCCTGACACCAAAAACCTTGCACTTTCCACCATGCTTCATTGCTTTCCAGTGTAGCCTTGCCTAGCTCAGCATAAATATACTGTTCTACTTACTGTTATGACTACATGATCTTTTGAATCTTTGAGATGGATGGGTCTATGTTTCAGTGAACTACTGGATATAGGGAATGAAACCATTATTCCAAACTGGTAACTGTTTTGATAACTTGAAGGCACTCCATCACAGATTCTTTGCTTGAATTCAGATCTCAAATATCATCACTTGTTAGCTATAAACCATGGTTGAATTACTTAAACTCTTTGATCTTCAGGTTTTTTTGTACAAAAATAGAGATAATAATATCCATCTACATCATATGGTGTTATGAGAATATAATTATGCCCAAAAAGCTCTCAGTGTAGTATCTAACATGTAATAAGTTTTGAATAGCTATTATTACTGTTGATTTTTATTACCATTATTATTTACAGTGAGTAATTTCTAATCAAGTGTTCTCTTCTTTAAAGGAGTCAAAATATCCTTTATGGCTATTTACTACTTATCCTTCTCAAGCCCTGTTGATGTGTACTGTTTTTTTAATAGGTGCAACATAAGAGATATGGTGCAATTCTTAAGCGTTTGCATTGTCAGGTGAACAAAATTCAGTCAAATAAAAGACAATGGCAATGGAACATTCACCAATTGGAAAAAACTGCAGCTGAACTAAGAAAACGCATTGGAATGAAAGATTAACATGGCCAAAGGACAATGTAGAACACAGACTATGTCAACAAAAATGATAGGACAAAAGGTTGGGAAAATTCTTTGGATTTTTAACCAGCATCTACTAAGAGAGGTCTGTCTTAATAACACATATTTTCTCTCTCTCTCTCTCTCTCTTTTTTTGAATCAGTTAATCTCTTTGCTATAGTGCCTTCCAAACCTGCAATTGATAACAGTGGATAGACAATAGGAATGCTGACAGAAGTCTGATAGAAGACTCTGTATAAATATTTTGAGTATGTAAGATATAATTATACTCATGAATGCCTGTTTATAAACATGTTGCCTTCACTATCATATGAAATAAAAATGTAGAAAAGAAATGCATGAAGTTATAATGATTTAAATTGTTAAGATATTTTAAATGATTCTGTTTCAAACTTTTTATTAAAACTTGCTTTTTTACCACTGCCTTCACAGTAGTCCATAAATATTGACATTTACAATAATATATGTTCAATGCTTCAGGTATTTTATGTTTTTCTTTCATTCAGAAGGTAGCAACCATTTTTTCTTATTAAATAACACAATTTTAAAGTGTTGCAAGGCATAAAACTTTTTGTTTAATTTTCTGTCTTTAGTACTATTCTTTAGTACTATTCTGTGACAAAATTGAAGTTATGACATCATGTAAGGTAAATACCAGCTCTTAATTAAAAAAAAAAAAAGAATGTGAATAAATATAGACTACTGTGTATTTTTTTTCTCACTGTAAGTCATATGCTATGTCCATGGCAACATTTCAAAATTTAACTTGTCCATGTTAAGATAAAAGTGCTCCTTTTTTTGGCTCCACTGAATCAATTTTTTAGGATTAGAAAAAATATTATTGAATATAATGGTCTTTAAATATTTACTTTTTAGATTAAATCCTTTCAAAACAACAACATCAAAAAGGTATCTTAAGTTCATTTTCTTTTCACCTTTCTTCATGCCTAAGACTAAATAAGGGGAGAGCTGATAAAGAACCTGATATTAATAATCTTGCTATGTCTAACATTAATAATCCTATTATGAATCAACATGGCTTATTATAACTAACTTCAAATGGCTTTGCTATAACACAATCAACTTTGGCAGGCAACTCAGAAATAGAGTTACAAATAACAACAGTTAAACCCAGGGTAGGAGCAAGATGGTGGAGGAGTAGGAGACCTCAATTTCGTCTGATTCAAGGAATTCAGCTAGATAGCTATCAAACCACTCTGAACACCTATGAACTCAATAGGAGATTGAAGAAAAGAATAGCAGCTACCCTATTAATAGAAAAGCTACCACTTTCTACAAGGTAGGATGTGCAGAGAAATGAATTTGAGGCAATATTTGGAAAGATAGACTGCAGGGTATTTGGGAAGATAGTAAGGCTCTGCCATCTGGCTCCTGGCAAGTGACAGAGCAGCAGAGCACAAAATCAGAACTTTTAAAAGTCTGCCCCACTGAGGGATGTTACTTTAGTGGCTTAGTGGAGAGTGGAACCCTCACTGGGACAGTGTGGTTTCAGGGACCTCAGATTCACAGAGAGACTGGGGATGTCTGAGTGCAGTAGAGCTCCCAGGTATCGGAGCAGGGAAGCCGGTTGCAAAGACAGAGCCATGGAGTGGGATCTCAGCTCAGGGTTGCCATAAACCATGATCCAATGCACAGTCGGGCCACTACTCTTTGAGTAGAGACCCCAAAAGTGGCAGATCCAAGGGATACTCCCCCTCCTCCTCTGGGAGGAATTGTGCAGAAGCACATTGAAGAAATCTGCTGGGTTTGGAGACTCCAAATGGGGCCATGCTCTAGAGATAGAAATGGTTGGTCACAAGCTGGGTGATTATGGAACATTGCTAGAGACCAGGGAGACAGGCACGGTTGACTGCTCTTCTCTGAGGGCTCACTAAAGAGGGCAGCTCCTGGGATCTCACCTCCTCCTGGCCAGAGATTGGGAGGCTGCCATCTTCATTCTCCTCCTCCAAACCTATATGGAAAGTGTTCAGGGAACAAAAACTACTGAGAGCAAACCCAAGCAGATTACTTATCCTGGTCCCTGGCAAGGGTGGTGCAATTCCACCTCAGGCAAAGACATTTGAGAATCACTGCAAGAGATCCCCTCCCCCAGAAGACCAGCAAGAACATACAGCCAAGACCAAGCTCACTGATCAATGAGAACTGTGGAACTCCAGAACTAAGGGAAAGCAACACATAGAATTCATGCCTTCCCCACATGATTCTATACTCTCTCAAAGTTAATTTCTAAAATTTTCTTTCTTTTTTCTTTTTCTATTTTCTAAATTTTTCTTCTTTCCTTTTCAACCAACATCTTATCAATTACTTTTTAAAAATCTTTTTTTTCATTTTTAAAATTGTATACTATCCCTTCACTGTATTTAACTTTATTTATATATATATATATATATATATATATGTTTTTCTTTAAAATTTTGGGATACAGTTTCTTCCAATAGACCAAAATATACTCTAAATCTACTGTATGGCTTTGTTCTATTTTCCCACCTGATCACATTCTCTCCTTTTTTAAAAATGTTTTTCTTTTTTTTTTCAACCAACTCCTTGTTTTATCAATTCCTTTTTAAAAATCCTTTTTAATTTTTAACTTTCATGTTTACAGTCATATTCCATCCTTTCATCACATCTAACCTTTTTTTTATACATATAAGTTTTTCTTTAAAATTTTGAGAGGCAGTTCTTCTAACAGACTAAAATACACCCAAAATCTAGTGTGTGGCTCTGTTCTGTTTGCTAGCTTGATCATAGTCTTTTTTTCCCTTTCTTTTCCCCCTGGTTTCAGGTCTCTTCTGATTTGTTTTGTGTATATTTTTCTGGGGTCATTGCTATCCTTTTAGCATATTGTTCCCTCATTTATCTATTCTTCTCTGGACAAAATGACAAAAAAAAAAAGAAAATGAACAAGAGGCAGTACCAACTGCCAGGGACCTAATCACTATGAACATTAGTAAGAAGTCAGCAATAAAGTTCAGAATGACGATTATTAAGATACTAGCTGGGCTTGAAAAAAGCTTAGAAGATACTAGAGAATCCCTTTCTGGAGAAATAAAAGAACTAAAATCTAACTATGTCAAAACCAAAAATGCTATAATGACATGCAATAAAAAATGGAGGCTCTAGCTGCTAGGATAAATGAGGCAGAAGAGAGAATTAGTGATATAGAAGACCAAATCATGGGCAATAAAGAAAATGAGAAAAAAAGAGATAAACAACTAATGGATTATGAGGGGAGAATTTGAGAGATAAGTGATACTATAAGATGAAACAATATTAGATTATTCTCCCAGATTAGATTAGATTAGATTAGAATGTTCTCCCAGAAGGAGAAGAAAGAGAAAGGGGGCAGAAGGTATATTGGAACAGATTACGGTGGAGAACTTCCCTAATTTTAGGAAGGAAACAGGCATCAAAAGCCAGGAGACACAGAGAACCCCCTCAAAATTAATAAAAATAGGTCAACACCCTGTCATCTAATAGTAAAACTTACAAGTCTCTGAGACAAAGAGAAAATCCTGAAAACAGCTTGGGACAAGAGGTCTGTAATATACAATGTTAAAAATATTAGATTGGCAGCAGACCTATGCACAGAGACCTGGCAGGCCAGAAAGGACTGGCATGATATTTTCAGAGCACTAAATGAGAAAAATATGCAGCCAAAAATACTATATCCAGTAAGGCTGTCATTAAAAATAGAAGGAGAGATAAAAAGCTTCCAGGATAAACAAAAACTAAAAGAATTTGTGAACACCAACCCATCCCTACAGGAAATATTGAAAGGGGTCCTCTAAGCAAAGAGAGAGCCTAAAAGTAACATAGACCAGAAAGGAAGAGACACAATATATAGTAACAGTTACATTACAGGCAATACAATGGCACTAAAGTCATATCTTTCAATAGTTTCCCTGAATGTAAATGGGCTAAATGCCCCAATCAAGACACAGGGTATCAGACTGGATAAATAAAAAACAAGACCCATCAATATGCTGTCTGCAAGATACTCATTTTAGACCCAAAGACACCTTCAGATTTAAAGTGAGAGGATGAAAAACCATTTATCATGCTAATGGACATCAAAAGAAAGCTGGAGCGACAATCCTTGTATCAGACAAATTAGATTTTAAGCCAAAGACTATAATAAGAGATGAGGAAGGACACTATATCATACTTAAAGGGTCTGTCCAACAAGAAGATCACAATTTTAAATATCTGTGACCCTAACATGGGAGCAGTCAATTATATAAGCCAATTAATAACAAAATCAAAGAAATACATCAATAATAATACAATAATAAGAAGAGACTTTAACACTCCCCTTACTGAAATGGACAGATCATTTAAGCAAAAGATCAACAAGGAAATAAAGGCCTTAAATGACACCCCAGACCAGAAGGACATCACAGATCTATTTAGAACATTCCATCCCAAAACAACAGAATACACATTCTTCTCTAGGGCACATGGAACATTCTCCAGAATAGATCACATCCTGGGTCACAAATCAGGTCTCAACCAGTACCAAAGGACTGGGATCATTCCCTGTTTATTTTCAGACCACAATGCTCTGAAACTAGAACTCAATCACAAGAGGAAATTGGGAAAAAACTCCAATACATGGAAGCTAAAGAGCATCCTACTAAAGAATGAATGGGTTAACCAGTAAATTAAAGAAAAATTGAAAAAATCCATGGAAACAAATGAAAATGAAAACACAACTGTTCAAAATCTTTGGGACACAGCAAAGGCAGTCCTGAGGGGACAGTATATAGCTATACAAGCCTTTCTCAAGAAACAAGAAAGATCTCAAGTACACAACCTAACCCTATTTAAAGGAGCTGGAGAAAGAATAGCAAAGAGAACCTAAACCCAGCAGGAGAAGGGAAATAATAAAGATCAGAGCAGAAATCAATGAAATAGAAACCAAAAGAACAGTAGAACAAATCAATGAAACTAGGAGCTGGTTC